ATTTAACCACTCGTGTATACACCCCAAGAATAAGATACCTACTTATTTTCAACAAAATATCACAATTTATTTCAAATTAGTGTTTATTTTTATTTATATAAACATAATATATAATAATTGAAACATAGCATCTTGTAAAAACTGTAAAACAAGAAGATACCATTTATATTATACTATTTTTTGGTTGCTAATATTTCTACAGGACGTCATGAAATTATTGTCATGCAAATGGACTGATACTATTCCACAAGAAGAAAAGATGAGTACGTTTCATTAATTTTTTTCTTTTATTATTTCTTTACGTATTTATGTCTACGTTTTCAAAAAAAATATTAAAAGCATTAGTAATATAATTCAAATTATTTTTTTACAATTATTGAACTTTCAATTTGAATACTTAAATGAGAAATGTATTACAGAAAGATTGGACGGTCTAAGCAAGAAAAAACCAGAAAGTTCAATAAAAGAATGGCTTCAAATACCTGAAGATAATTACTCCGTTAATGAACAAGTAGTCGTAAATGATGGTAAAAAAAGGGTATGTATAATACCATTTAATATTTATAGAACTTTAACCACATTAGTCCCTTAATTTTATTTGGTCAATTCATAGCATTCATACATTCATTTTAATAGTATCATGAAATTATGATTGATATTTTTATTTATAATCATAACTCATAAGTAAACATTATTATATATTATTAGTTATTACCAGGACTTGAATTGAGAAAAATTAAGTACAAGTGCTCAATTCAACAATTTAAAAGGTGGGCTCCAGGTGCATTATTATTTAACACAGATCCATGGGGGTGAAGCCCCTCACTCCTATTGGCTATTCCTAAATGTTCTCCCTCCATTTTTTTATTTCTAGATCCACGCCCCAAACCCAAAATTAGAATACTAAAGCAAATGCTTTTTTTTTTATCTTTATACTATGCTCACAATGGACAAGCTATAAATAGAAATATTAAAAAGGTGCTCTGCTGTACAGTAGGTTACAAGTGGGTCACTGTATAATGGATGGTATTAAATTTGAATTCAATGATATAATATCATTGTATAAGAAAAACGATTCTGAGCGGAGACGGTATGTCAGTCTAGGTTTAAGACATATTATATATATATCTATGGTATTAAACAAAAAATTGACCTATAATAGGTACCTATAATAAATTCCAAATTAATCATATCACAATATCCATTAGATACTTATAACGCGTTATACATCAACAAAAACCGTAATACTATAATAGATATAAAATTTCAATTACCCTCGAATAATATTATACAATCACAACAAAATAACTAAAATAGTTATTCTAGGTTTTTAATATGTAATTTCGTCCTAATTTGAACTTAAAATGACTATAAAAATAAACTGTGCTTATCTATTTTTTTTAGATTTTTTGGTAACAGAATAAACTACTAACGTGGAATCTTGTTTTAAATTTTCAATCCTTAGATATGAAAGTTGAACATTTTATACATTTTTAACTACAAAATAATTATTCAATTTTAAATGTGATACATTTTGTCGAAACTCGATCTTTAAATGCTTATAAAAAAAATTGTGCCTATGTATTTTTCATATTTTCAAACTGATATTGTAAAAATATATCAGGAGTCTTGTATTAAATGTTTACACTTTTTGGCCCGACAGATAAAATTTTATTGATATTCATAGATAAAAAAAATAAAAAAAATTAAATATGAAATTATCCGTAAACAGCTCCAAAAGAGTCAAAATATTTTGAAAATTGTATTAAGTATAAGAATTTATAAAATAAACATTCAGTAAAATATGCATGTATCTATAGAGTCATTCGTTTTTCAATTACAACAAAATAACTACATGAGAAATCGAGTGAATATCCAATGTTTTAAAATTTGAATTTCAAACTCATAAAAATTTAATTTGACTGTCCGGTAGAGATTTTTTTATTGATAAAGGTAGACAAACTTATGAGTAATCTTGTATTAGATTTTCAAATCTTAGATTTAAAAAGAAAAATTTTTACGAATTCTTAACTCAAAATAATTTGCTAATTTTCGTGATTTTTCCATATTTTGTAAATTTTTGAACTTTAAATGCTTATAAAAAAAAATTGTGACCAAGGATTTTTAATATTTTTCATCTGCCTTTGAAACAACATATTAGGAGCCTTCTATTAAATTTTCAAGCTTTCGCAACCAACAAATAAAATTTTATTGATATTTCTAGAAAAAAAACTAAAAAAAAATGAAAAATGAAAATGTCCCTAAACAGTTCAAAATAAATCAAAATATTTTGAAAATGTTATCGTGTATAGAAAATGCAAATATAAACAACCAGTGAAAATTTCATGTATCTACGGTCATTTGTTTTAAAGTTACACCAAAAACCAAATTCGATTTTTTGGAAAATCGATTTTGCGTAAAAATTCCCGTTTTTTCCTTAATTTTATGTTGTTTTTCCCGGCGCTTGTGAAAACTACTGGAAAATGTTTATTTTTGACCCCCCAAAGTACCAACTAGATTCACTTTCCTATCAGAAAAGGTACTATTGAAGAAAATCGAAGCACTTTTACTGTCCCAAAACGTGATGACAGACACAAAAATATAAAAATATAAAAATATAAATAAAAATATAAAAACATACATCATTGTAAAACCAATACATTCATCGCTCCGCTCAGAATCTAAAATGTATACAAAGCCGTAATAAAATGTTATTATTAGGTACATTTTATTTTTTAAATGGTCTTGAAAAAATTGTATGCAAACAGATGGTTTTGATGAGCAAAGACTGCAAAATTTTGTCACTTTTTTCTCCTTATTGTAAGCTTTCCTATAAATAATAAATTAAAAATTAAAAATATTAATTTAAATATATTTATTTAAAATATTTATTCGAACTCACTTGTATCCCAGTTCTTTTAAAAATTTCATATAGCATTCAATACACCATTTTCTTTTTTTTCTGTCTCTTCGAGTTTATGTTTATTCTTGGTTGTCTTTGGAAACTATCATCAAGAGGTTGTTCAGTATTTGAAACACGTAAAGATGTAGGTTTTATGTTTAGGAGTTTGTCTACAAGGACTTCACAAAATTTATGTATATAGTAAGTTTATTTCGAAAATTTTGTTTATTATACATAATTAGAGCATTTAAACAAAAATATTTAAAATTATCTCAGTTGCTACCTTGTGATACCACCGAACACTCTTTCTCATAGGATTGCAGTACGAGACTAACTGACCCAATAAATCTATTCCAGCTTTTCCATCATTATGTTGTTACGTAAAATAAAGTTAAAATAATAATTTTCACATTTCTTATTCGAGATGAATACTAAAAGATAATTGACGTATAAATGTGTAAAATAAATATTATCATTATCTTAAACCAATAAAAACAAATTATCGTATTGTATCTAAATCTAGCACGAGACAGTGGGCAAACAAGTGGCTTGTACGAAATAATACAATATTGGTGGGCCATCTGCCAGCCTGCGACCCACAACACTTAATGTACAGCAGAGCTGTACCCAATTGTCTACTTTTTTATATTTACTTTTACTAGGAAATTCTAGTTTATATTCTTCTGCAATAGAATGCCCAATACACGATGCTGTAATATACAACTAACCAGGGATAGAAAACGTTATTAATCGGAAAAAAACAAAAATAAAAAAACAACTGAAAAACAATAACAAAAAATCCCAAAAACCGAAAAAAAAATGTAATAACAAAATCAAAAACAAAAACGAAAATAAATGATAGTATTAAACATAATTATATTTATACCACGAAAAAAAAATGTTCACTTAAGTCTTTACTTTTTAATCTTTACCAATAATGCACTTTTAAATTTTTAAAACATTTTAATTTGAAATCAGAAATTTTTAATTTATAAATAAATTATAATCTTGATTTAAAATTAAAATATTAAGAATAATTAATTTTAATTTTTAACTTTTAAGTGCTTTTATATATTGCGCGTTACTATTATAAAAAAATAAAAACAATTTTATCAAAAACGTTTTTTGGAAACAATAGGAAAATAACTTTTTTAAAAACGTTAAACAAAAACGAAAAAATTAGTACCTAATTATATATTCATTATATATAAATATTTAGAAGGTTAAATGTATTCTAATTATGGTTCTCAATGTGATCATTTCTTAATATCAATTGAATTTTTAAACTAATAATTGACCATGTTCATCCGAGAAAAGTCTGTGTACCATATTGACTTTTAAACAAATAGTTTTTTTTTACTACTATTAGTCTTATTTGAAATTCTTAAATCTATATTACAATAACTTACATAATTATATTCTGTTATAGGTACATAATTTAATTGTGAGACTATATTTTACAAGTAGTCAACCGCCTCAAAGGGCCAATTATTAGACTTAATTTCTTAACAATTGACTTACTTTAAATGTACTTTTTTTACCCAGTGTTGACAGAAAACAACATTGTATAATTTTTAAATTTTTCACTTGCTTCGTCATTTAATATATACTTTTATTTGTAGGTTCGCTGGGCTGATATGGAAGAAAGGCGAGAACAAGAAAAAATGCGTGCTATAGGCTTTGTTGTTGGGCAAACTGACTGGAATCGGATGTTAGGCCGGGATCAAGGCGAAAGCAAGTTAACACAAACAAAATATATTTGAGTATTTGAATATGTTATAATGTGCTTGACTTTTTAAACAAAATTTATTTTTATTATTTTTAAATGTATATATTTTAATGTTAATAATTGCAAAAAAAATTATGTAAGAACTATCTGTGTGCCTTTGTTAAACAACTTTTATTAGGTAAACTGAATTCAATATTATGTATAAAAAATATATTACATATTTAATATTATATACGTTTGAGTTGTAACATTACTGTAAAATAAAGAAATCAAGAAACCAAACAATGGATTAAATTTAATCACCTTAGAACTTAACACCAGTAAGTATACACAATGTCATTCCATTACTGTAATTTTTATTTAAAGTACCTACTTATTATAAATGTTTTCAAATTTTTTAACTATAATATTGTCAAGAGTAGTAGTTTCAATAGTTGCCTGTTTGTCTTCAATGAAATCATTGCGCGGTCTTATTTTTGTCTGCTTTGTTATGCGCGTCATCAGCACTGGTCCTTGTTTGCTCTCATCCAAGGATCTCTAATGCCCGAATAAAAAAAATAAATCTATTCAAATTTCCACCTCTACTATGAATTTATCACATACATAATATGTATTTAATATATTATATATTAAACATAATATCCTTATTGTTATAAATTAAGCAGATCAGTTGTGTATAATTTTTATTAGATATAATAATAATATTATTGGTATTACCTGTAGTATGTTCAAAAAAAATAGAAATGCCAGCAACGCTAATGCAGACGAAGTCGTTGATGTCGAACGTCTCATGCTTCGTTTTTGTTTTCTTTTGGGGAAATTACTATACACATACATTAATACATTATATTATTATTATTATTATTATTATTATTATTATTGTTATTATAATACCTATTATATTAATAGGTTTTTTAAAATAAAATATTATATAGGTAATAATATATTATAATGCTCACCTTGTACTATACGCGCGCCCTATGTTCAATGGTAATAAATAACCATTGTTGACGTTATGAGTTCCTCGACTGTCTGAAATATGATGTGTCTGTGCATTAGTGGCAGACAACGACATGACTTGAATTGTACGTGTCTGCGGTACAATTTTTTATCTGTATTGTTATGCTAATCGGTGCAGTTTTTTGTTTTGTTTCAGAAAAAGATGATTATAAAATATTTGGGATCCGAAAAGTTCAAAGCTTGTCGTTGGGTGAATAAGATAATCTTGACTGACTTTCGAACATCTCCGGCACAATAACAACATATTATTTACATGCGTCGCACTTGCGCAGGTGTATGCAATTTGAAGAGTCAACAGCCATGACTGTGAAGTATGCCCATTGGTGTCTTCGAAATTATGTTCCCAATCATAATAATAGTCTTATTATAAGCCGTTAGCTTTATTTTATTTTTACCGCTAAATTTTAATTAAAATAGTATGGGAATATGTTATTTCTTGCCTTCTGCTATTATTATCATTTAAGTAAAAAAATATTATATTATTTTGTAATTTGTTTTTTTTTTATTTACAAATTGACGTCAAATTATTGCACATTTTATATAAATCTGGTATTTTAATTTGTTTTATTAAATGTTTACACTTTCCGAGTAAATATAAACTAATAGAATATTTTGTTTTATAATTTATTATTCTTATTTAATAAGTACCTACCTATAGGCTATATCTTAAAAGTACAAATTTTGAAAACGCTTACTTACGCGGCTGAGCAGTATAGCGGATCCAGAAGTCTAATATTATGATAAAAAATAACGTATACGACAGCCCAAATGAAGTGGGTGATCGCCCCTTCGCCCCTTGTATCTGTCATTGCGCCTGAGTCTTGTACGAAATACAATAATTAATAGATGATTAGCCATTAGGTATAGGTACTGTATTTTTTTTTTTTATTAATTATCCCGCGGCTACATAGGCCATTGGGACGGGGGTGGAACTGTAGGTTTTGGAACGGTAGATGTGTTACACGTGGGTGTATTTTTTGGCAGAATTTCGAATGGGGCACCCGTAGGTTTCTGCCATGCCCCGGAGTGGAGGATGGCGGCACTTGTTTTCCGGACACCGTGACTTGTCCGGAGAAAAATGCCGCCCGGTGGTCGAGATTCGAGAATCGAAACCGCGACCGGCAGCGCCGCAGCCGACGCGTTAGACCGCTCGGCGCTCGGCCACCTCGTACCCCGTATACTGAATATTGTCTACTTTTATCCAATCAATAATCATTATCTATATGAAAATAATATAATTTAAATACATTTTTGATGATATGGTATAGGTACTACTTTACTATGACGCTGTGACGTAGATAGAGTGGAGGTGGGTTAAGTCTCTTACAGAAATATCAAATTTAAAATTGTATATCCAACTATCACGGGCATACATTTGATTTAAAAACTACAATCCGGTAACTGGTAAAATTAAAATACATAAGATATAAAACACATTTATAAATTATTACAGGTCCTACGACTGCATAATTAGGGAGTAGGTACCTACCTACACGAATATTCGGAATATTGCACCTCCCTAACATTTTAAATTCTGAGCGGAGCGATGAATGTATTGGTTTTACAATGATGTGTGTTTTTATATTTTATATTTTTATATTTTTTTTTGTGTCTGTCATCACGTTTTAGGACAGTAAAAGTGCTTGGATTCTCTTCATCAGTAGCTTTTCTGATAGGAAAGTGAATCTAGTTGGTACTTTGGGGGGTTAAAAGTATAAATTTCCCAGTAGTTTTCACAAGCGCCTTGAAAAACAACATAAAAATTAAGGAAAAACGAGAATTTTTACGCAAAATTGGTTTTCCAAAAAATCAATTTTGGTTATTGGTGTAACTCTAAAACTAATGAACATATATACATGACATTTTCACTGGTTGTTTATATTTGCATTTTCTATACACGATAACATTTTCAAAATATTTTGATTTATTTTGAACTGTTTAGGGACATTTTCATTTTCCATTTTTTTTTAGTTTTTTTTCTAAAAATATCAATAAAATTTTATTTGTTGGTTGCAAAAGCTTGAAAATTTAATAGAACCCTCCTAATATATTGTTTCAAAGGCAGATGAAAAATATTAAAAATCCTTAGTCACAATTTTTTTTATAAGCATTTAAAGTTCAAAAATTGACAAAATATGGAAAAATCACGAAAATTAGCAAATTATTTTGAGTTAAGAATTCGTAAAAATTTTTCTTTTTAAATCTAAGATTTGAAAATGAAACACAAGATTCCTTATAAGATTATCTACCTTTAACAATAAAAAAATCTCTACCGGACAGTCAAATTAAATTTTTATGAGCGTTTGAAATTCAAATTTTTACAACATTGGATATTCACTCGATTTCTCATGTAGCGATTTCCTTATTTTGTTGCAATTTAAAAACGAACAACTCTAGATACATGAAAATTTCACTGAATGTTTAAATTAGCATTTTCTATACACCATACAATTTTGAAAATATTTTGACTCTTTTTGAGCTGTTTATGGACATTTACAGCTTTCAATTTTTTTTAGTTTTTTTTTCTATAAATATCAATAAAGTTTTATCTGTTGGGCCAAAAAGTGTAAAAATTTAATACAAGGCTCCTGATATATTGTTACAATAGCAGTTGAAAAATATTAAAAATACATAGGCACAGTTTTTTTTTATAAGCATTTAAAGATCAAATTTTGACAAAATTTATCAAAATCTCGAAAATTATCAATCATTGTAATTAATAAATTATAAAATGTTCAGTTTTTATAGCTAAGGATTACAAATTCAACACAAAGGTTCTCATAAATAGTTCATACTATAACCAAAAAATCTAAAAAATATATGAACACACTTATTTTTTACAGACATTTTAAATTCAAATTTGGACGAAATTACATATTAAAAAACCTAGAATAACTATTTTAGTTAGGTATTTTGTAGTGATTGAATAATATTATTCGTGGGTACTTGAAACTTCTAAAGTGTACTATTATATATCTATGATAGTATCACGGTTTTTGTTGATGTATAACGCGTTATAAGTACCTAATGGATATTTTGATATGATTAATTTGGAATTTATTATAGGTACCTATTATAGGTCAATTTTTTGTTTAATACCATAGATAATATGTATATAATATGTCTTATACATAGACTGACATACCGTCACCGCTCAGAATCGTTTTTCTTATACAATGATATTATATCATTGAATTCAAATTTAATACCATCCATTATACAGTGACCCACTTGTAACCTACTGTACAGCAGAGCGACACCCACTTGCCCACCTTTTTCTACATTTATCTACAAGTAATCAAGTAAACGTAAGTACTGAATTTGTAACCGCCACTGGTTATACCACTTATACGGTACCTTTACGTACCTATATAGTCAAAAGTTAATTTACCTATTCTTCCGTTTAAAATAGTAATAACTAATAACTTATAGTGCGTAATAATGGGAATCAGAGGGGTAGGGCCGTATGAGGGCTCTGTGTGTAGCTGAGCCTCCATGAAAACTTTTGTTAAATATAGGTTAGGTACCATATGGGTAACCTTTTTGTCATAAATTATAAAATTAAAATACCAAATTCCAAGTACTGAAGTACTTATACTTCTATACATAGTACCTACATACCTACACACTTGTATTTAATAATTATTGAAGCTCTGATATCTATTATAGCCTGCTAATTACACTATGGACGTACCTAGCAGCTACTATATTCTGTGAAAGTTTCCACATGCTTTCGGAAACGGAAATGCTTTTATTTTATTAACGAATCTCGAATAACGATACCTATGCGATTATTGATATAATTGTGGGTAGCCACAGCCCTGCACAGACTTACAATAGCGATAGGTGTCATCGATGTATATAACTAAGGGGGGGGGGGCTTAGTCTTAAATAATATTCTGCTTTGGAATATGAAATTAAAAATGTATTTTGTCATTCAAAAGAGTAAAAAAGTTGAAAACGATAACGACAAAAAATAATAAAAAATAAAAGTTTTTTCCAAAAATATTTTTGTATTGACTTGTAGTGTTTTCTGAAATCCTGACTGTCTAATCAGGCACGTTTTTTCGCGATTGCACCGATTGGTATTACATACGTAATACTATAATAGTACAGTAGTAATGGTGGACTACGTGACGTCGTGAAAATATAATCATTCGATTTCGAATAGGTAGGGGGATTAGGTGTAAATATATTTATGATTGGATAATGAAATATTACTTAGATTATACTGTTTGCGATATCATAGTATTCTCCCAAATTCGCAATATATACTGAATGATCACCTTGTTGAAATTACGGATCGGATCGGCAGCCGTAATTAATTAACTTCGTCCACTTGAATCCGGGCGGGGTAAGCAGTAGGTACACTTTGCCAGGGCAATCTCGTAAAATGCCCGGCCAATGTACCTATGAAAAAATTTAGTATTAAAATGGTCATTCCTACATTGTCTAAAATATTAGGGCATTGTGTACAGTGCCAGGGCATTGCATAACAACGCCCGATTTCCTATAATTTGCCCGTAACATACCTATACAAAAGCATACATTATTGGTGTCTGAGTGTCGTTGGACACTAAATTTCCGGTTTCGTTCTAGGCCTTTTTAAGACAAAAAAATACGAATAATAAATAATTAATATAATTTGTAGTGTAACGGCTGTAGCCAACTATTTGTAACTTTTTAAGTATTTTATTTAATTGCTTATAATAATTATAGGTATGCAGTATGCACTTGATGTTCTTATATAGCGTGAGTGCGTGACACTGTGACAGGCGACAGCCATATGTGTATAATAATAATAGTACTTACCTACTTACTAACAATTAGGTACTAAAAATTAATATTTTAGTTTACCTATTTGTTTATTGCATAGCGCTCGCCTCCACATTTCTCCCCCTTCAGTGTCGGCGGATTCTTACAACGGGCAGCTTCTCGCTGTTCGTCCAGATAGGGTGGTTATCGTAGGTTGTTGTGTCTGTAATATTGTTATTTATCGCTGCCCCTGTGATGTCAGTTGTTATGTTGTTGTACCTATACTTGGGTTCAGGATAA